CCCCCCAAAAACCCAACAGAACGAACTAATCCGGGAAAAAAAAACCCCCCCCCCATACCAAACAATCCCACCAGTCCATAACATTCTTTTTTGCAAATATACAGGGTCAAAGCCACAAAAAAACAACAAAATACCTTTCATCCGGGGGACGCTTGAAAGGGGAAAAGGGCAATTTGCGGCTTTCACTGAGACCCACATAAAGATCATTTGGAAAACGAAATATGGATCCCAGGTTACAACCTATACAATGGACAGAGTGAACAGGCAAAAGGGGGGGGGTTGGCCTGTACATTGCAAGTAAAATTGTTGCACAGAACGCTTAATGCCTCAAAGACTAGGGGAATTTTAGCAAAAGTCGAGAACCAAAACCTACCCATTTGGTAGTCTACAACCTCCGGGTGCAAATCCCAAAATTTCCAGGAACAGCTTTTAAAAAATTTGACCCTGTCTGGAAAATCTTCCAGCCCGCACCCAACCTTGCTCCGGGGGGTTTTCAATTTAAAGGCCCCTAAAATGGGGGAAATAAGCAAAAAAAAATTTTTGAGTAAAACCCAGGAGGCGCCTGATGAAAACCACACTCACACGAGTTTTAAATCTCTGCAAAAAATTCTTTAAACCAGCAATAATAGAGCCTACAGACTGGAAAATACCTAACCCATCTTCCAAACAATGATATCTGATAAGAAATTCACCATTAAAAAACAAAATACTCAGATCACAACATAATTGAGGTTCAGACATGTATCGTGGAGCCCCAGACCGAAAAAATGAGACTAGCCGAGGGAGCATTCACCAAATTCAATTCAATAACAAAACAAAAAGTGGGACCAAGTAAACCAAGTCCTAACCGATATAACTGGGAAGATATACTAAGCAACACGACCCAATTTATGCCTAGAACAGATTAACTCGGGGGAAAACCGATGTATGCAAAAGGGTTTATTCCTCTAAGAAAAAGAGGAGTAGATGTAAAATAGAAAAGCAGGCGCCCCCTTTACAGGCGAGGGAAAAGAATAACAGAGGGGCAAAAAAGGTCAATTACGAAATCGCGGGGAGCACGGCAAAAAAATAGCAAGCTCGAACTTAAGCAAAAGAACCCTTTTAGGGTCGGGAATCGGGGAAGAACTAAAACCCATAAATGAAATCGAAAAAACCCAAAGTATTTCTTCTCCTACCCAAAATCAAAATCGAGAAAAAGTCCGTTTTGGGGCCCCATTTAAACAAGATGGGTCCTACAAATGACAAAAAGGGAAATGGTGAGCACTCAAGTCCCAATATGACTCAGTTTTTAGCAAGCCGCTAACCAGACTGAGATCGAAGATAAAAATAAATTTTTTTTAATGAGAGAGCCACAAAATTTGATTAACACAAGCCCATCCGATGTTTCCTGACGCCCCAAAAGACTTCGAACAGGCGAAAATGACACCCATGCCTCTGCCCAGGGGGCCCAAACCCTGGGGAAACCTGTGTTCATCAAGAAATGCAAGAAGCCCCCATCACGAGCCTTTCCATCCTATGGAGGGGAGCATGGGCACGGGGGTCGCCCTCAGTTACTAAAAACAACAGACATACCCCCCCTCCACAAAGGGGGGGGTAAAGCAACAGCAAAAAACTAAGAAAAGATAAATATATCATAAAAATTTTGAATATAAGAAGAAATAAATTAGAAAAAACCCAAAAAAAAAAAAAGGGTTTAACAACCCAGGGCCCTTTTAGAACATCGCCCTGTCTGTCCCCCAACTACTGATCCCTACGACAAAGGGCTAAAACACTAAAGCAAAAAGAATGCAGATGTAATATACAGACTTTGCAAAAGCCTTCGAAAAATGTGACCATGGGGTAATAGCGCACAAAATGCGCGCTAAAGGAATAACAGGAAAAAATCGGGCGAGGATCATAATTTCCTCACAACAGAACACAGAGAGTAGTCCAACAGAGTAAAATCCGAGGGAGCTACGGGAAAACTCTGTTCCCCCAAGGGACAGACTAGCCCCATCTTGTTCCCCATCCCCATATCCGACATAGACAAGGGTGTCAGCCACAGCACCGTGTCTTCCTTTTCAGATGACACCCGAAACTGCATGACAGTGCTTCCCTTGCAACACTCAAGGTCCAGGGGGCATCAACCAAATCTTTCAGTGGGGTGCAAAAACAAATAAAATTCAACGATAGAAATTCAATTACTCAATAGGTAAACATGAGGAATTAAATCTTCATCAAGACAAAACAAATTCTGGCCACAAAATAGACGAACACCAACGTCAAAGACCTGGGGGGATTATGCGGGGATCTCACCTTCAAGGACCATAACATTGTATCAAAAGCATCTGCAGAAAAATGACAGGGTGGGTATGAGACCTTCAAAACTAGGGAGGCCAAGCCCATGATGACACTCTTCAGTCACTGTTTATCTAGGGTGGAAATCTGCACTCTAACAGCACCTTTCAAGGCAGGGGAAATTGCCGACCAGAAAATTACAGAAACTTTCACGGGGCCCCAAACAGATAAAACACCTCAAAATTACTGGGGGCGCTTGAGGTTTCTAAACCTGTATTCCCGGAACGCGAGGGAGAGTACAGATTATATACACCCGGAAAATCCTAGAGGGACTATACCCCAACTTGCACACGAAAATCACCACACAAAGCAAAAGACTTTGGGAACGATGCCCATCCCCCCAATGAAAAGCAGGGTGTCACTAGCACGTTAAGAGACCCTACAATAAGTGTCAGGGGCCCGAGACTGTTTAAAGCCCCCCACACACATAAGGGGGATTCCAAAAACCCCGGCAGTCTTCAAGCTGGGACTGGGGCAAACACCTAAATCAGCCTGATCACCGGGCTGTGGCCGCGTTGGTTTTTCGTGCGGGGCCCCCAAAAACCTGGTTGATCAGGGGCTGACCACCAGGGGGGCCTGGTCAAGACCGGGCCGCGGGGCGTTACCCCGAAACCTTCCAGAAACTCCAGGCCAGAGGATGTATTTTAACCTGGAGTTTTTCCTGGGGAGAGTTTCGGGGGGCAACGCCCCCCCGGGCCCCGGCTTTGGGGCCAGGCCTCCTGTGGGCAGCGCCTGATCAACCGGCTGTTGCTGCTGGCGCACGCAAACCAACGTACGAGCCACGCCCGGCTGATCAGGAATGATTAGGTGCTTTTTCCAGTGCCACTTGAAGACCCAGGGCTTTGGTAATCCCCCCTTTTGGTTTCTGGGGGGCTGAACAGTCTCGGGGGTGACACTTATTGTATGGTCTCTTAAAGTCTAGTGACACCCCGCTTTTCATTGGGGGGATGGGGCACGTCTGCCAGTCTTTTGCTTTCGTAGGGGTGATTTTCGTGTGCAAAATTTGGTACTAGTCCCCTAGGATTTTCCAGGGTATATAACAGTATCTCCTCCTGCTTCCAGGGAATACAGGTTTAGAAACCCAAGAGCCCCAGTAATTGAGGGTTTTATCCCGTTAGCGCGCCGTGAAAGTTCTGTACATTTTCTAGGTCGGCATTTCACCTGCCTTGAAAGGGCTGTTAAGTGCAGCAATATTCCAGCCCAATAAACAAGTGACCGAAGAGTGTCAACATGGGCTTGGCCTCCCCATTTTGAAGGTTCCATTATCCACCCTTTATTTTTAGCAGATGCGATTGATACAATGTTTTGGCCTTGAAGTGGATCCCCCGACATAATCACTCCCCCGGGGTTTGACGTTGGTGTTTCGCTCATTTTGTGGGCCCGAAATTTTTTTTTTGTACTCTGATGAAGATTTAATTTCCTCATGTTTACCATATCTGAGTAATTTAAATTTCTATCGTTTTAACTTCATATTGTTTTCTGCAGCCCCTGAAAGATTTGGGGTTATGTCCGCCTGGGGCCCTTCAGTTCTGCATGGAAACACTGTCATGCAGATTCGGGTGTCATCGCAAAGGAGACACGGTCCGTGGCACATCCTTGCTATGTCGGGTATGAGGATGAGAACAAGATGGGAGCTAGTACTTGCCTTGGGGAACAGAGCTTTTCCCGTACTGCCTCGGACTTTTCTCTGTTGACGACTACTCCTGTGTTCGTTAGGAGGAAAATTATGACCATCGCCGACTTTTCCTGTTATTCCTTTTGCGCGCATTTTTGCGCTATTACGCCATGGTCACACTTGCGAAGGGTTTTGCAAAGCTGATAGGATTGAGGGACAATTAAATTTTAGCTAAAGGTCAACCACACCCACCCCCATCACTCATGTATTTTATCCAACCTATTTTTGCTACACAACGTTTCTGGCCTCTATAACGGACTTGGGGGGGTTTGTTGTGGGTGAGTGGAACAAACTCCCCGTACCGTTATAAGGCCAGAACGTTGTTACTTTAAAAATAGGGTTTGGGAAAAACATGAGTAGATGTGGTGGGTGTGAGTTAGACCCGATAGCTTGTGCTACCAGGTCGGTTGCCCTGTTCCCCCCTTTAAATCAATGTACCTGACCGCTAGGTTTTGGGGGCATTCTTAAGCCGGAGGAACTTTACTGCCTCGCATGGGGCCCGTAGGGCCTGCTGCAGTGTTTTCCTTTTTGTCTTTTGTCTTATTTAAAGCACCGTGAAAACACGAAAAACCCGGACACAACGAGGCACGCGACACGCTAATCCACGCTAACCGGGTTATTAATACTTTTTCCAAAGGGATACCTGAGCAAGACTTCAAGGGATGTAAAAAAAATTTTTACACAAACACAAAAAACTTTTTCAACGAATTGGAGCTACTCTCCCTTTCCTTCTGTCGAATCTAATTGTTTCCCTCCCAGACGCTGTATGATCCCTACGGGTTTAGTGTTCCCAATGAATGTAATAGTTAACATCAATAAAATTAATAAGAACAATAACAAAAATTATAATAATAAAGATGGTCAATAATCCAGGATAACTTTACAAGTCTATCAATGTGGTTTCTTTCCATTGGGGACTTTATAGATCCTCTTTCGTAAGAAGCGATTCTCGATCTGGTCCATATGTGTATATAAAAATGTGTTGCAGAGATGTGCATGCGAGAGGTGAACGCACTGGCCCGGGCGGGACTGATTGTGATGAACGAAGTAGATGTGAAACCTACCCCGCCTGGACGACTTATGGCCAGGTATTGCGTCTCCTTCAACACCATGGAGACCTTCATACAGGTGTGATTACATTCAGTGTGTATGTGTGTGTCTCCTTTTCTTTCTTCTTCTTACTACCATAAATGTGTACATATTTGATATTTTAATACATTTGTATATTTTATATTGTAAATAACTGATCTGTGAAAGGAAATTTTGTTTGATTACATATATCGCGCATCAACTTATCCATTTGTATATTCTGCCGGTATTGGTAAATATATGCTCATTTAATATTATTTTTGTTTACAATTCATCTATTTTACGCAGATGCATGGAGAAGAGAGTTTAAAGGAGCTGTTGGAGACAGTGTGTGGGTGTCGAGAGTTCTGGGACATCAAGGTATGACTAGTGTGCACCACATACGTTTCATGTGTCTGTTTCCTCGTATTGTCGGTAATATATACCATTATTTTAAAGATGCTTCAATTGGATTAATTTTTCCTTTGTATTCAAATAATAAACTTTGTTATAGAAATGTACAAATGAGATGTAATCTCACAACTGAATCTCCACTCTGTAATTCTCGGATATAAAATTTGAGTGGCTTTGACATTATGTAACCCGACCTAAATAACATAAATCGAGAAATTTGACTTAGAATTTAGGAAGACATATTGGTCGAGCTTTTTGTAACTTAGCGTGTTCCTAAAAGGTATCTGAAAAATTCTACATGTAGTTTTGTCAGTTAGGGCGTTTATTGCTCACCATTGTTAATCATATGTATTCTGTTTCAACCTGTTGCTTTTGCTCAGGGTCTGTCCATTCGAAAAGAACAGTAGCCTCTATGTGTTTTGCTTTAGTTTTAAGTTTGCTTGGGACTGCTGTGAGTTCTTTTTTTTATTACGTACGAGAAGGTACGGACGTCTGAGAAACGATTACTTAACGAGTTAAACAAGAGCCAGACGACGTCCATACGCTTCCCCATTAAAGGCAGGATCAAGACCAGAGAGCAGAAGATCAACTGGTTTGTACACATTCATATTTTCATATTCTATTTATGGGTTAGTTATAAACTCAATTTTGAGGATATCTAGGTACCTAGAAACAGTCTGAAACATAGTTCTATATACTATATGTGTTTGGATTATGTTGAGTTTACAGATTGTGTATAATAAACATACAGGAAATTTTTGTTTTATATATCAAAATTATTTCTTATGCAGAATGGTTGAAATGATGGCACGTGTTAAATATTTTTCTTTTGCTTTCATAAAGAGATTAATTTAGAAAAACTGGTATAAAGGTGAATGTACTTATCAGTTTTGAGCAAAGGTGTTCTGAATGGTTTTACTTAGCAGTATTTGATCAGCTTGGTACAGGCGACGTTAGGGTGCCAGACCATCCTAGATCCTGGACTAAGTCAGGACGCAAACAAGATTATGCGCACCGGACAACGCATCACCAAGTGTATGTATTAGCACTAGCCTGTATGTTCTACACAATTCTCACCCGTGTCAATATGCACTCTGTAGGTTTTTTAGTGTTTAAAATTTGTTAACTAATAATAGAGTACAAGGGTCGTTAGGGTTGCACTTCACTTGTACTCTAACACCTAGTAGCAGCGCGCCGGGTAACCATCTGGAAAAGACCCGTGCTGGGACATATACCGGCGAATTATTAAAGTTACCTGCACAAGTAACGTGCAACATTATCTACTAGGAAGCTGCACCAGTATTTAATCCACCCATTTCATTTCTGTAAGAAAGCACCTCGAAAGTGTAAGATAAGACCCATCTATATAGGTGATCAGACCGACGGTAGAAATTACACCAGTATCTAATCTACCAATACTATAAAAAAATATTTGAGTAAGTGATCCATTCACAACTGTACTTTGCTCAGTTGGTAGTGTCCTCACCTCACACACTGTGAGACTAGGGGCCGATCCCGGCGCGTATGGCATGTTTCTTTTTACCTGCTGCCCTTGTTTACTTAGCAGTAAGTAGGTGTTTGGGTGATAGTCGACTGTTGTGGGTCGCATCCTAGGAAAGAAGATTTAAGGACCCCAGTGGAATTCCATAAGACAGTCCCCGATGCCGCATGGACTTGATTCGGTTATCAAAACTATGGACTTTTCCAACCTGAAAGAAATATACGTTTGATATACAATAGTAATTAATGTATCTTGAGAAAGAAAGTTATCAATATCATTATTAAAAGACTCAAGGTGTGATACACTGAGAAACACATCTGTTGGGGTTTATACACTGAGAAACATCTGTCGGGGTTTATATGAGAAACATTTTCGGGGTTTATGCACTGAGAAACACATTTGGGATTTATACACTGAGAAACATATCCAAGGCTCAAATAAAAACTTAGCCCTGTGTATTAAATCCTGTTGTTATAAATCCCAGTGGAGATAAGTCACGTTTGACTTGTGGATTACCCTAGGGTGAATTCTACATAATTTACCATTGTAAAAGTTTCAAATTTTGCATGAGGCTTAGATGAACACTTGAATATTTCTGGTGTATAGTCAGTTAGGTTATAGTGCAATTTAATTTAGTGTATGTAGAGCTTGTCACGTTTTCTGTTGTCTGAGTTCTGGGTACGTTTTCTGTCTTCTATAATTTGCGTTTTCAGTTGTTTTTTATGCTGGTCATATTGCTCTTTACTACATGCCAGATACTTGAAAGATAACCGTTAGTATCATATTACTTAATAAAGTATATATGTTTATGTATGTATGAAGAATTGAGTGGCTGTAGATGAAAAAAAAATCAATAAGTTATTTCTCTGAGGCTATGGTAACTGACACCTATGGTACCTCTCGTGGGCCAGTGCATGCGACAGTTAGTTAGTTTAATATGTTTATTATGCACCCCATACCCATCCTGTGGGCGGTAGTCAAAAGATTACAGAGGTACATAATGGGTCCAGGGACTGGACCCCAAAGTTATCATAGCTGAACTAGTTACAAAGGTAATGAACTCCAGGTAGATCTGGTCACAATCATGGCAAGTTACAAAGGTAATGAATCAGCCTCATTCCTATACATGGTTACAGTCATGAACAAATTACAAAGTAATGAGCCAATGATACGTCCACACCTGGTCACAATTGTAATGAGTTATAAATACAAATATTAAGTTAAAGGACTCATACAGGATCCAGGAGAGACAAGAGGAGCTAAAAGCGATTAATGAAATTGAAAGAAATTCGAAATATTTCTTTTCATACGCCAAAAACAAGTCAAAAACCACTTCTAGTATAGGGCCCCTGCTCAGACAAGATGGATCCTACACTGACGACAACAGAGAAATGAGCGAGAGACTGAAATTGCAGTATGACTCTGTTCATTGAGCCACTAACCAGTTTAAAGATAGATGATCCAAACAATTTTTTCATGAATGAGCCTCAAAACCCTGCCAATGTAGGCCAGATTTATGACATAACTTTAACTCCACTAGACTTTGAGAAAGCCATCGACGACATGCCCATGCACTCAGCCCCAGGCCCAGACTCGTGGAACTCGGTGTTCATTAAAAACTGCAAGAAACCCCTCTCACGGGCCCTAAGTATGCTATGGAGAAGGAGCTTAGACACAGGCGAGATTCCACAGTCACTAAAAACAACAGATATAGCCCCACTCCATGAAGGTGGCAGCAAAGCAGTAGCTAAGAACTATAGACCAATAGCTTTAACGTCCCACATCATAAAAATCTTTGAAAGAGTTCTAAGAAGCAGGATAGCAAACCACCTAGACTCCCAAAAATTGCACAACCCAGGGCAACATGGTTTCAGAGCAGGTCGCTCCTGCCTTTCGCAACTGCTTGACCACTATGATATGGTCCTAGATGCACTGGAAAACAAACAGAATGCCAATGTAGTATACACAGACTGCAAAAGCCTTTGACAAGTGCGACCATGGTGTAATAGCACACAAAATGCGTGCTAAAGGGATAACCGGCAAAGTAGGCAGATGGATCTTCAACTTTCTAACCAATCGCACAAAGAGTAGTGGTAAACAGAGTTAAATCAGATGCTGCCATAGTGAAGAGCTCTGTCCCACAAGGCACAGTACTCGCACCTATCCAGTTCCTTATTCTCACATCAGACATAGACAGAGATGTAAACCACAGCACTGTATCATCTTTTGCAGACGATACTAGGATCTGCATGAGAGTGTCATCCGTTGAGGACATGGCAAAGCTCCAAGAAGATATAAACCAAGTTTTCCATTGGGCAACAGAGAGCAATATGATGTTCAATGAAGACAAATTCCAACTACTCCGTTACGGAAAACTGGAGGAAATAATAACTAGAACTGAGTATACTACAAACTCCAATCACACAGTATAGAGGAAAAGTAATGTGAGAGACCTGGGAGTGGTAATGTCAGAGGATCTCACCTTCAAGGATCACAACAATGCCATTATCACATCTGCTAGGAAACTGATAGGATGGATAATGAGAACATTCAAGACAAGAGATGCTAAGCCAATGATGATCCTTTTTAAATCACTTATTCTTTCTAGGCTGGAATACTACTGTACATTAACATCCCCATTCAAGGCAGGTGAAATTGCAGAGCTAGAGAATGTACAGAGAACCTTTACTGCACGTATAAGTTCCATCAAACACCTTAACTACTGGGAGCGCCTGGAAGCACTTGACTTGTACTCACTAGAGCGCAGGCGAGAGAGATATATCGTAATCTACACCTGGAAGATTCTGGAGGGACTGGTCCCTAATATGCACACAGCAATCACTCCATACAAAAGCAAAAGACTTGGCAGGCGATGCAACATACCCCCAGTGAAAACTAGGGGTGTCACTGGTACACTAAGAGAAAATGCAGTAAGTGTCCGGGGCCCAAGACTGTTCAACAGCCTCCCACCAGCAATAAGGGGCATTACAGGAAGACCCCTGGTT